ACCTAGCATTCTATCGAATTGCGGATGTGGAACGCTATAAAGGAGCACTGCGATGAAGCTGCAGCGAGTCATTCCCCAACAACATCCATTTCGAGTACGGCTTTGTTTATTTACGAAGCGTTCCATAGCCTTTCAAACGCGGTATTTTAGCATGCAACAAAAATAACCCAGGGTTGAAGATGTAGGGAATGTTCGCTCTCGATTTAAATAAAACAATGCTAAAGAAGTTTCCCTAGAAAAAAGGCGTTAAAAGCGTGGAGTTATCTGGTTCATCTGTGCTATGCGCATCACTGTGGATTGATTGCTGGAATGGTTACGTACATAAGAGATCAATTGTCAATTTAGTTATTTACTGAAGCGAATGATTTTCGCATGTGCGTCGATACTCTGCAACGTGATGAACATTACTCACATATGCTAGGAGTTTACCCATGTCAGGGCAAAGGAAGCCCACCACAGGTGAGTCTCTTAGTGAATTGCCTTTAAGAATAATCATAGAAAATTAAAAGTCTGTGCTGGAAGATTGAACAAATGAGAAATAGTAAAGGAGTTAGGGTCAAAAGCTTTCCGTTTCGTATATGCCCTAAGGCGGAAGTCCAGCAAAAGCGTAGTCCCTAAAGTCCCTAAACCTCATACCCCTTCCCCCCGCCTGTGTGTGCTGGGCAACTGCAAAGAATGCGAGAAATACCTTCTTCACGGAATGTGAGAGCTATCACTGACACTGTTCTATTCAGAAAAGGCATTTGGTGGAATTGAGACGGTTAGCCGGGAACGCATATTTTCATCCACGCCTGAGATGGAGGGGGGGGGACTTGGGGTGAGTGAACCAGCTCCTTCGCCCAAAAAAAGGATTTTTGCCTAGCTGTTATTCCAGTTTTGTATTCACTCTCCAATTCTCGGATTGGCTATCACCCTGCCCAACCAAGCCTTCTACACCCCCGGGACGGTGAGCTGATATCATATTCGTGAGAATAAAAACACTGACTTGTACATCGACTGACCTCCACAATTCATTATATAGTACATCGCATGCAATAGGCCACTACGATTCAGATAAATGTAGAATGTATGCTGTATATGGGATTGATTAGCGGCGAAGTCTTTACCCTTTATTTCGCTGACCATACAGAATCCTAGCAGTTTCTCTTCTGCCGGCCCTTATGGGGATAACTTCAACCCTGTAGTTTATCCATTTCGGATGGTTCACTGCTAATAAAAGCTTCATCAGTTGCAGGATCTGCGTCGTTTCGTTCAAAAGTTTTGCAGCTTTCAGTTAATGTCGCTCTCTAAAGCTGGTCACTTACGTCGAGAAACCAACTGTGCCCAAGTGGTCCTATCAGCAGGTGGTTCAGAGAAAGGCAAAGTCAAAATGGTTCCTTGTAGTGACAATAGTCCCATTTGGAAATATGAGGTGAGTCTCTGTTTTGTGCGACTGTCTGCTATGGTTCGAGAAAAAGATATCGTTTAGAACTTATTGCTAAAAGAAAGCTCTCACGGACTCTGCTTATCGACTGAAGGACTAAAGGCCAGTGATGATGTAGTAGTACAAAAATGCGATAGCACCAATCCTCATCAACTGTGGTCTTTTGTCGATCCGATGAAAGCAAGCTGAAGTTATTGTTCTTTCAGCGAGTTTTTTGTTACTTGTTATGACTAACCTTTTTTCTTTTGATTATTTTAACATCTTACCATAACTTAGTTTTAGTCGTTTTGATAACATTCCTCTTCTTTGTTTGGTTGTTGCTCAAGCTTTAGTGCAATTGGTCTAAATGGCGTTTGTTGTTCACATTATACGCGAATGGGTTCATATCGAGTCACTTTTGTTGTCTGTGATAAAAAAATCTTCGCTATTGGTTCTTAAATACTTGCAATGCTGTAGGTATCTTATTTCAATCACTGCAGATGAATTCGTTAATTATGTGAAGATATTGTTAAATAAATGTTAAGTTTTAGTCTTCTGTCAAGCAAGTCGTTTGATTGTCGAAGATTTACTCCACAACGTTTTACCTCAATGCTGTATATTTTTGCTGTCTACAACCTTCTTCAGAATGAGTGAATCCGGAGATGTAGCTGTAGTACCATGTGGTCCTGGACCTCTTCCTGATGTCTCCTATCCGCTGAATGTTACATATTGTGGAGGTGAGACTGTGGTGATGTTTAAGTCCGCCTAAGATCAGTCCATGATAAGATATTTGCGAGACAGAGCTGCTTTCTCCCTGCGTCCAGGTGGGATTAATTTTGGACTCCGGACTGAGTAGTTCGTTCAAATCTTTCGTTCGTTACGGCGTAGATCGCTGCATGCATGTGTTCATGTATGCGCATCCGCGATCGGATCGCTCAAGCGCCTGGATCGCGCGATTCGCGATCAGATCCCGAAGTATTGAACGTGCTCTTAGCCTTTGTGCGCTACATCCAGCCTTGAAAGGCTTTCCTTCTCACGTATCTTATAAAGTGTGATTTTGAAAATGTTTAGCAAGGAGTCCCTACTCCAGTGAAGTCATTCTTAGCTGCAAATCTTGCGGGCGGAGGTGGTGTAATGCCGATGAGCCCCCCCTTGTAAGGATTGTTCGCTAATTGCTCGCTAGCGCCATCATGCGGGAGCAGTTCGGCGACAGGGAGGGGCACTTTGCACTTTCGCTGCTTCACCAGGTCGCTTTACAAGTCTTTCTACGGTGAAACTTCTGAACTGTTGTGAAGCTGGAGCAGGCTCGTCGAGTCACCATAAAACCTGTCAACTCACGTAAGCTCGTGAAATAGCTCTCTATATGACTCGACAAGTCGATGGGAAGTACCAAAAGCACAGAATTACCCCCACCCCACTCCCCTCCGTCGCTGAAGTGCCTCTCCGAGCGCTCCATGGCTAATAAATTGACTCGTTTTCGAGGGTAAACGTTGACTGGTGCATCAGCCGACTCTCAGAAGTCTGTGTGGGACTATATAGCATTGTAATAGGCTGTTGCAATTTGAGGGAACGCATAGTCCATGATTCCTGCAGATGACTGAGCGTGAGACGAGCACCAAATGGACACAGCCAAAGTAGTCTTTTTCACCAATGATGTCATCCTGAGTCCACAACAACTTCTGGAACGGGCTATTCTGGTCGGAGAAGGAAATACTAACCAATGCGCGTAAGCGGCGCGTTTTTTGACGTCACCGCGGCGGCAGGGCGGAGCGAAGGGCGATGGCCTGCGCCTCCGCCACTGTGCTCCAATCAGCAGCCGCTTTTATGTGGAAGGAAAAGAGAGAAAAGAAGATTGAAGAGAAAAGATACTTCAATCAATGGCGAAACTGGCGAAATAGTTCCCTTCGAGCTCGCTATAACGGTTAGGACGACGAAGTTCTGGCAAATTGCCAACATTAGTTGTGATCTTATAACGTTATAACGTTTGCGTGAGAGCTGTTTGCGTCGTTTTCGCAGTCGAAGGGGACTATTTCGCCAGTTCGTCACTGTCTGAGTAATTCACCCTGATACTCGACTTTTCTGTATTCTCTGCTCATCACCACCACTAACTCACCGATAAGCATCCCCTATTTGTTCAATCCTCCTTTCTCTCTATTTTTTCCCTTCCACATGAAAGGACTGCTGACTGGACACATTGGCGGAGGCGCAAGCCCTGGTCCTTCGCTCCGCCCTGCCGCCGCGACGTCGAGAAACCGGCCGTATAGTTTTTCCACGGAGCCATTTTGGTTGTGATCCATCTCGCGCCCCTTCACACACAACAGAAAACGTGTCGCATTCAATAAAGGGACGTATCGACCTTCTATCCGAGCGCA